AATTTCTGACAAGAACTTGAAAGATCATRGAAAAAACATATTCCCTGTCTTAATCATTATTATTTTCCAATTTTCAAGAATCAGTAGGTGAACGAATATTTCAAACCGTCTATGCAACACGGACCAGTATTATAACTGAACCGAAAAAATCTTCGTTAGGGGCAATCCATTAGAATTTTGAAGGGGGGGTTGGAAGATTTTGAAAAAAAATCCTATACGGCCRGAAGGGCTTAAAAAACATTCCTGCAAGGCAAAATTTTGAATAACCTGGACTAAAGCTTTTGTAAATTTACAAAAAAAAAATACAAGCGCGTGCTTAAAGTCCTAAAAAAATTATTGCACGGTCAAAATCTTCCAACACCCCCTCCTCCCCCCTCCTTCAAAATTCTAATGGATCGCCCCTTAGAAAAACATGAACACTGAATACTAATAGTCCAAAACGGTTGTCCGTCCATAAATCTACTGCCGAACGCTGCTTAAAAATCATTTTCAATATTTCTAGATTGTCGTTTTTAATYAAGACTGACTCATTGAGTGAAAACCAATTAATTAATCCGATAGGTATTCCACTTTGGGATGTTAATTGAAATCATAGAATAATACATGATTGCAGCCACGTATTGACAGAAATAAGAACCTAAAACCTGACCCTAAGTCTGCTGGATATGTAAACAATATGGTGCCCAAGTGATCCCCTAAATATTGGAAGTTTTAATGAAAACAAATTTCAAAAGAAGARGTGAAGACTTGTAGAAACCTGGTAGACTGTCCACTGTACTATATATTTACGGAGAACATGGTCGGCTTGAATAATAACATGATCTTATAGTCAATCAATCAAGTGTTTCAACGTTTRGTGCTATATATATTACCTGCAAGCAAATTTAAGTAATTTAACCAGACAAAATATCTTTGTGTTGTTTATATCGTCATTTTAGAATGCCTTGGGGCTCTATAATTAATTATTACGATCACAACAAAAACGTTTTGCGGCGACAGCTTTGGATTCCGGTTAAAWCAAAGAATCCAGTCCTTGAGACATCCTTGTACCCTTTGTATGTAGTTTTATCGCTGTTATCAAGGGAAAGATACTCAAAAGTGTTAATAGAATTATCAGCTTCACTTAGAGGAAGGCATTGGACCGGAAAATAGCAAAATAAACAACATAGTCGCCATTTTTGATAGAGATAACACTTACATCCAGGCAAACTTACTTCTATACTGAACATCATAAACAAGTATACAAACCGAATTCTGATTTGATCACTTTCTGCAAGTTGTCTAGTTAACTGCTAGTACTTTTTGAAAGATAATGCGAGAAGTCATGTGGCGTTTTGTACAACTAGGACGAACAGTCACGCCACACTATCAGCATTTACAAATACATATTGTACAGCGTACAAAACAAACTGTACTGCGTTAACCACAAAAACCGCAATGCTTGCCGTTGTGTTTAAACACTGATATCCTAAATGGCTTTTTAGCCAAAACATCAAGGATTATAACAAGGTTTTGTACACCAACCTTCGGACGAAGGCAAWACGAAATTTCTTGAACATTTCTTTCCTTTGMCCGTCGTCTGCTGGACGGGAGGTGCTTGTTTAAGTAGGAAAATCAAACATCATTCTCACTACATATAGGTATCTCAATACTAGTACAATATAGTTATCTTGTCATCATGMTTTGTAGCTAGAAAGTGTCCCAGTGTATTTTAGCATCTCGTGCTTTAGATGTCACATTGTTGGCCTGACGATGGAAGTCTCGATAATGACGAATCGAAATCATTAGCACAACGTCACTGACGGGCAGGGGATTATGGGTATTAACAAGTAAACAGAACCTGAAGGTTTGGTAAACAGTGATGATCGCTGGGGGGTAATATGAGTAAACAATGTCTATAAAAATAAAATTTCCTCAACACAGTTAATTCGAGTTTTGCAATGAATTCTCTAATGATTCCCTGTTAAATGGCTTCGTGTGCCATGTAGGTCTATAGCGAACCCAGGATTGACCTGAAGCCATTGCTCTAAGCTGAAGATTCCTGATAGATTTACTACTACGTTATTTATCTGCTATTTATCTGTTGYGAAGCATAGAAACTGGTATATCTAGGCCTGAGAAATGAAAGTATAGCTAAAGTCGGTCTAGTGTGCATGATCTGTTCGCATGATGTTCACATCACTTGTTGATCTGTCGTCTTCGCCAAAAGACGCACAAGATTCTATGCTTCAACTTGATATTGAAATTTTGAAATGAGGTTACTTAAAACCCTTTGACAAACCATCCAAACAAAGTGATTCAGATCACCTGCTAGGGTTTCAAAGTAGCACAAAATAAAGAAGGTCATCTATAAGACCACTTAGTGGCCATTTTAAAGCCGGACATGCTGTCTAGAATGATGAAATCATTACCAGAAGGCAATGAGATTTGAAAGCATTAGCTGCATCGGTCAGTGAGAGGAGATTATACTAAAGACCCCTTTAAAGAAACCTTTTGTTTTGGTTAAATAATTATCATCAAACAGTCTCTCTAAACTCTAACACTGACATTGTCTTAAATAAAAGTGATTTGTACTGGAGGTCAATTTTATATACAATCACAAGCMATAGGCTGAGACAACAGCGATTTTCATAGTAGAACCGGTAAGCAAGCTGACTATTACTTGCCGTGGACGCGACCTCAAATATATACAGTACACAATGTAAGCCCTTAGGTATGAAGACTAGTCGTCGGTATCTACACAGTAAACCGCAGTTTCGACCCAACATGACCTTCGACAACGTTAGTTTTGTGTCTTTTGTGACAAGAGCCCGAGACGAAAGCAACCTCCTTTCACAGGCCGTAATACGGGTCTAATAAGTCAGTTTCGAACTTAAGAGAGTCACAGATAGTTAAAAAATAATAATCTAATACAATTTATTCTTTGGAGAAGCAGAATTATACCTTTTGGCTCCGCAGAAGAAGAAAGTACATGTCATTGTTCGATGGGACGAGTCTTTGGGATGCTGCTCGACAAACTCGAGTTGTGATGAAACTGGTACGCGTGAAATGAAGTGGTTGACTTCCCAGGCGGACAACTCGCTTGAAAGCGAAGATTTTTGCAGCATATTCTAATACGTACTGCCAGAAGTAACAACGTTTCGTAGAAGGTCTCGCTCTTTCATGTGATGTGGAGCTCTAATTGCATTAGTCAACAGATAATTACGTAGAAGCAATAACCATCAGTGAAAGGATCAACAGTGATTATTGATAAACAAACCTTTGGCTCGGGATGCAAGACAGGAATAAAACACTAAATATGTCGGAAGAGTTTTTAACGTTTTTAGAGTTGATTGTTTTCGAAAAGGAAGGCGGGAAACTAATCAGGMTTTTTTTATGATCAAACAAAGACACCGCGTCAGGAGATCGTACATCAATTATCCACAAGACTCCATTAACACTACATTTACACTTCATAACACAAACCTTTTTAAGTGACAAAAATGTGGAAATGACCACTCTTTAAAAAATAATTCAAGTGCAGATAAAATTTTGTACAAAATCCAAATAGTCAAGCGGGTTATCGACGGGATCGAAAGCTCTCTTACTACATTGCTATCATTCCAATTGACAAACATCCACGGTACGCACAATATCGATAAAGAAAATTGCAAAGATTTTTAGATTTTTGTTTTACGGAATATAAGATCATGACGCTGATAAACGAGCATCCAACATGAAATGCGCCGCAAGAGTATGTCATATCGTTCARAACTTGCGAATGAGATTAGATAGATCCAGAAAAAAATCATAAAGCTTGATCCTAGCAGTTATAAATCTATCATGATGAATAAAACATCACTTTCTAGAATAATGAGTTTTATTAGCATTCTGCTGTTAGGAAATTATAGAGGTTAAGGTTTTGTATAAATTAAATGATGTGGGATCATGTGACATATTCAAAGCAAGGGTCTAGGTCTGGGAGGAGCAGTATATTAAGTTTCACTAGCAAACCCCCAAAACTCCAATTAAACTCCATATACTTAGTTTGRATATATACACCTCTTTGCTGAAAAAATCCCCGGTCTTTAAGGTAAATATATGTCTTTTGTGTCTTGCAATGAAAACAAAAGACAAAGACGGACTGAAATTAAACAATAGCCTTAGTAACAAAAGACATATATATAAATCACATATACACTCAAGACATTCAAATCATTTTTTTTTTTGAAAACGAGTGTATATTTGTGAGTGAAATATGAACAACCTAT